GTGAGTTTCCCTCTCCCACATGCAGCTGCGTTTTAGGGCTGTGTCTCTCCCAGGGTGTGTCTAGATGGCATGGCTCCATCAACGGAGTCATGTAGATGAGGCAGGACGACAAAGGGAATGAAGTAGCGATTTAAATAATCGTCGCTTCATTTACATCAAAATGGCCACCGCGCTTTGCCGATCAGCTGTTTGTCAGCACAGCGTGGCAGTCACGATTGGGATCTGCTAATCGCAGAACACTTTGTCGGCAGATCCTTTATTCTTCATGAAATGAGGCTTCTAGACTGCAGCGCTGTGCCAACAAACATCTGATTGGCACAGCGCGGCGGCCCTTTTTATTTAAATGAAGTGGAGATTATTTAAATCGCCGCTTCATTTCCCTTTTTCGAGTAAACTAATCTACATGGCTCCATCAACAGAGCCATGTAGTTTAGACGTACCCCCCGATGTGTGATACCAGGTTTCCTCAGCCACAATTCACTAACACAGCAGAATGTCACAGAATACATTTGGAGGCAGGCTAATGGAAGCAGGGTTGGAGAATCACTGGTGTAGACTCCTCTAATAATAAACATTGTAAAAAGGAACAGCTTAACAAATGAATAATAACAAGTTTTACATGTTTTAAAAAAGGAAGTAACTTGGGAGTAATCCTGGGTAGTTATCGTGGGAGTCAAATTTTCCTCACTTCTTTACTTCCTGGCAGGGTGGGGTTTGGCCAGTGTTCATCTGTTGCTGATTGCTCAATACCCCTCAGAATATAAGAAAATATCGGGGATGATCTAATCCGATTGGTTAAGTCTGTGTGCACTTACAACTAATGAACTGTTAGACAAGAGCAGGCCTCCTTAGCTCCTGGATCAAACAGATTTCCTGAACTCTTGCTGAGTTATTCCTTACGCAGCCTGAAATGAAAGATCTGTTGCCCCGCGGGGAGTTTTGGGAACCTCTGCTCACATATTTTGCTGAGGCTCACCAGGAGTGGTGTAGGGACGCAAATGATTTGACTCCGGTTAGGCCACCTCTGGATTATTTCATCCAATTCTGGGCCGCCCACTACAGAAAGGATGTGGGCGCATTAGAGAGAGACCAGCAGAGGGCAACCGTAATGATTCGGGGGCTGGAGCACATGACCTACGAGGAGAGGCTGAGGGATTTGGGCTTCTTAAGTCAGCAGAAGAAAAGAGTGAGGGGGGATTTGATAGCAGCTTTTAACTCCCTGAAGGGGGTTTCCAAAGGGGCTGGAGAGAGGCTGTTCTCAATAGTGAGATATGGCAACACAAGGAGCAATGGGCTCAAGTTGCAGTGGGGAAGGTCTAGGTTGGATATTGGGAAAAACTATTTACCTAGGAGGGAAGCACTGGAATGGGTTACCTAGGGAAGTAGTGGAGTCTCCATCCCTAGAGGTATTTAAGTCTAGGCTTGACAAAGCCCTGGCTGGGTTGATTGAGTTGGGGTTGGTCCTGCCTTGGGCAATAAGGGCTGGACTCGATGACTCCTGAGGTCTCTGCCAGCCTTGGGATTCTAGGATTAATGTGAGTCCTTTATTTTACTTACCATATGGAATGGGTTACCTAGGGAAGTAGTGGAGTCTCCATCCCTAGAGGTATTTAAGTCTAGGCTTGACAAAGCCCTGGCTGGGTTGATTGAGTTGGGGTTGGTCCTGCCTTGGGCAATAAGGGCTGGACTCGATGACTCCTGAGGTCTCTGCCAGCCTTGGGATTCTAGGATTAATGTGAGTCCTTTATTTTACTTACCATAAGTGTGGGGGCTGGAGTGAGACATGTTTGCACCCTGTGATTTTCTCCACATGGGTCTGTGAGGTGATTTGCAGCCATAATCAGCTGTTGGTGCGTGGGCTCAGGTCAGCTAATACAGTTAAGTTTTAAAAAGTATTAGAAGGAGAGGAGCCCCCTGGGGAAAATGAAATCAGGGAAGGGTTTGAAATAACAGCGGAGAATTTCTATACAGAAGTGTGGGACTGGCCCTCGGAAAGCCTTTAGGTGCCCTGGAGAACTCTTGAAGTGATGCTTGTAATGGGAATCTGGGACTGGCATAGGAAAACAGAGGGATCTTAAAGTTAAGGCAAAAAAATGAAAGCTGCTCTACAGGGTTCTTGAACTGGAGCAGCAACATTTAACTAGGAGTTAGAGGCAAAAATGTAAAAAACCAAGAAAAAAAATATATTTTTAAATGTAACTAATTTGACAATAAAATCTGAAACTCTCTACGGCACAGCCTCATGCAGGCAATGCAGCTGGTAGCTATGTTGAAGCAAGTGGTAGAAGCATAGAAGAAGAAGAAGTCATGTGCTCCAGCCCCCTAATCATTTTGGTTGCCCTCCGCTGGACCCTCTCCAATGCGTCCACATCCTTTTTGTAGTGGGGGGCCCAGAACTGGACACAATACTCCAGATGTGGCCTCACCAAAGCCGAATAAAGGGGAATAATGACATCTCTGGATCTGCTGGCAATGCTCCTCTTAATGCAACCTAATGCATCCATTGGTCCATGAGGATGCGGGGCTGTAGGTTGTCAGGAGGTGTTCCATCCACCCACCACTGCTCTGGGAGACGCATATCTCTCCCAGACATCGCCTTGAATATAATCACTCCATGCGATGCTCCAGATCCCTGGATAGCCAAAAGGATAAATGGCAACGTCTGGTCCCAATCCCTTCCTTGCGGGTTTATTACTTTTCGGAGCGCTGTCTTGGCCTGAACCTTGGGGGGTGTCCTACTATATGTAGCCTTTGTATAATCCCAAACACTTGGCAGATTCCTTTTGTGATTTCCCCAACAAAGTGGGGTCCTATCTGTAGTGAGGGGTCCAGAACTGGACACAATACTCCCGATGTGGCCTCACCAGAGCTGAATAAAGAGGAATAATCATTTCTCTAGATCTACTGGCAATGTTCCTCCTAATGTACCCAAATTTGCCATTAGCTTTCTTGGCTACAAGGGCGCCTTTTTGACTCATATGCAGCTTCTCACCCACTGCAATCCCCAGGTTCTTACTGCTTAGCCAGTCGGTCCCCGGCCTGTAACAATGCTTGGGATTCTTCAGTCTGAAGTACAGGACTCCGCACTTATCCTTGTTGAACCTCATCAGATTTCTTTTGGCCCAATCCTCTACTTTGTCTAAGTCACTCTATCTCTACCCTCCAGCATATCTACCCCAGCTTGGTGTCATCCGCAAACTTGCTAAGGGTGCAACCCATCCCCTCAGCCAGACTATACATGAAGTTGCGTAACAAAATCACACACAGGTCTGACGTGTGCAGCACACCACTTGACACTAGCTCATCATTCACCCATTGATCACTACCCACTGAGGTGGAGGATGTAGCCAGCTTTCTATCCACCTACTTCCTTAGTTTTCTGGTAAGGGCACTTTGGGAGAGCATGTAGAGCTCATAACAAATATTTGCTAACAAAATTAAAACCAAGTTGCCTATAAAACTGTCATTTAAGTGCAAAGAACATTTTTTACTGTTACAAATCACAAAATAATTAGAATTGGTTACAGAGAGACTAATGGAAACTTTACAAGCTTCTGATTCTAATTGTTGTGAGCAAGACATGAGATGTCATTCTTCCGCTCTACTCTGCGCTGGTTAGGCCTCAGTTGGAGTATTGTGCCCAGTTCTGGGCATCGCATTGTAAGAAAGATGTGGAGAAATTGGAGAGGGTCCAGAGAAGAACAACAAGAATGATGAAAGGTCTAGAGAACATGACCTATGAGGGAAGGCTGAAAGAATCGGGTTTGTTTAGTTTAGAAAATAGAAGACTGAGGGGATACATGATAGCCATTTTCAGGTATCTAAAAGAGTTACATAAGGATGAGGGAGAAAACTTGTTCATCTTGGCCTCTGAGGATAGAACAAGAAGCAATGGGCTTAAACTGCAGCAAGGGAGGTTTAGGTTGGACATTAGGAAAAAGTTCCTAACTGTCAGGGTGGTCAAACACTGGAATAAATTGCCCAGGGAGGTTGTGGAATCCCCACCCCAGGAGATATTTAAGAGTAGGTTAGATAAATGTCTATCAGGGATGGTCTAGACAGTATTTGGTCCTGCCGTGAGGACAGGGGACTGGACTCGATGACCTCTCGAGGTCCCTTCCAGTCCTAGTCTTCTATGATATACTATGGGTGGTACTTTGAAACTGTTCGTTTAAAATTTAAAATTTAAATTTAAAATGTGTTTTTTTTAAACTGTCCGACCCTTTTGCAAACAACTTAATACAAAATTCTATGACGTGTATTTAATTTCTGGAACTTCCCTATAAGTGTAATCGACGCAACATGACTTTGCCCAGTCAACGACAGGTCTCACTGGCTAGTGTTGCTATAAAAATACCATATAAGTAGCATATCCGGATAAACTCATCCGCAACATCTTGTGAAAGACGAATATGAGTGTAGATGGGCTTTGAGTCAAGAATTTATCCCCAAGATTTGAATGGGGGTGCACAGATGCAGAGGAGATTCTTTTAGGAGATGTTGAAGTAAGGGCTAAGGAAGCCCATGAGGGCCAAAAAGCAATTTATCCCCTTCAAAAATAAAAGCGGAGAAGATGGCTGCAGTTACTACTCCAGATAAGTGTATAATGGACACTGCCTATCTCCTAGGACTGGAAGGGACTTTGGGAGATGAAGTCCAGCTCCTTACTTTCACAGCAGGACCAAGGACTATCCCTGACAGAGTTTTGCCCCAGATGGTCTCCTCGAGAATTGAATTCACAATGCAGGGTTTAGCAGACCAACATTCAAACCACTGGGCTATCTCTCAGATGCCAGGCCCTAGGAGAACAAAGGGGACACACATAAATAAATAAGTAACTATATAACTAAAATGACAGACCACTTAAGGGGTAAAATGAAGTCTCCTAATAACATCTGGCTGACAGACAGCACAGTCTATTTTCAGGCAAGTCTATTTTCTAGTTACAGGAGCAAGAAGCAGCCATGTTATGGATCTGAACACACCCAGCTGGCCTCAGCATGGCCACTTCCAACTGGACCACACACCACCCCTCCACTTTCATCCTCCTCGGCATCCCAGGGCTGGAGGAAGCCCACGTCTGGATCTCCATCCCCTTCTGCTCCGTCTACATCCTGTCTGTCATGGGGAACTGCCTCCTCCTGGCTGTGATCAAGACCGAGCCAAGCCTCCATGAGCCCATGTACCTTTTCCTCGCCATGCTGGCCTTCGCCGACCTGGTCATCTGCACCACCACCGTGCCCAAAACTCTCTGCATTTTCTGGTTCAGGGACCAGGCCATTCATATCGACGCTTGCCTGACTCAGGTGTTCTTGATTCACTCACTTACCACCATGGAGTCTGGGTTCATGCTGGCCATGGCCTTCGATCGCTACGTCGCCATCTGTAACCCGCTGCGACACTCAGACATCCTGACCCATCACGCCATAGCCAAGATAGGGCTTGCCATTGTGGCGAGGGGGGCTGTGTTACTAGGCCCACACCCATTCCTACTGAAGCAGCTCCCGTATTGCACAACCAACATAGTTTCTCACACCTATTGTGAGTTCATGGCGCTCGTGAAACTAGCCTGTGCTGACACGGTGGCCATGAGTGCCTACAGTCTTGCCATAGCGTTTTTTGCTGGTGGCGTAGATTTTCTCCTCATCGTCCTGTCCTACATCCTGATCCTCCGGGCCATCTTCAGCCTGCCCTCTAAGGAGGCCCGGAGCAAGTCCCTCAGCACCTGCACTTCCCACATCTGTGTAATGTTTCTCTTTTACTTCCCTGCAATTTTCTCCTACCTTTCCCACCGCTTTGGCCACATGGCTCCCCATGTTCACATCCTCATCGCCAACTTTTACCTTCTCTTCCCTCCCATGATGAACCCCATCATCTACGGAGTGAGAACTCCGGGGATCCGTCAGAGGGCTCTGCACATTTTGGGCTTCAAACCAGCCTGATGGACCATGAGATGGGTCTGCAGCTTGGGTATAAAGTCTATGTAGGAGACATCTGGATACCCGGACATGTTGGCCCTGATAACTCAGTCACCCTCATGTTGTGGAAAACCACCTCTGCTTTGCCGAGCAGCAGGGATAAATAAACACTCTTGTCTACATCTGCAGCAAAACATGGCTCTGATTCTTCACCACTCTTAAACATCCTTATTATTTGTTATTTCCATCTCACCCAGCGAGATCCAGGCTTCGTTGTGCAGGATGCTGTGTGATGTATAGCTAGATACCACCCCTGCCCGGTAGCCCGTCTCCATCTCAGTATCCCCCTTCTGTCTCAGTAGCCTGTCTCCATCTCGGTAGTCCATCTCCATCTCATTTTGCCTAGCAATGGTTAATGAGAAAGACAAACTTTCGGGCTTTCACAGCTTTTTCAACAACACAAGTTGCTCCAGTCAAAGACATTACATCTTCCAGCTGATTTCTCTAATTTCCTAAGAATGATCCAACTATAACACCACATTCAATACCCGTACGAAACAGTTAAGTATCCATAACATTAAGCATTATAATCTGTTGTAGAGCCCAGATTGAGGGGTGGGGAATCTACAAGGGGCTGCCTTGCTGTACCGTCATTCCCAGGGAACAAGTTTTAGAGATTGTAGCCACGTTAGTCACTTTCAGCAAAAACAGCGAGGAGTCTTGTGGCACCTTCCAGACATTTTTTTTGGGCCGTAAGCTTATGTGGGCTGGATTTGTTCGGTGCATTTAGTGGAAACATCAGTTTAGTAGAGGACTAGTGGTATCCAGATCAATTCAGTCAGGGAGAAGATGGCCCGTTGCTGAGAAGGTGTGAATGCCTGAGGAGGGAAAGTTACTTTTTGTAGGTTCCAGAGGGGCAACCATGTGAGTCTGTTTCCGCAAAAACAACAACAGTAGCACTTTAAATACTAATGCATTCATTAAGATATGAGATCATAAGCTTTCGTGAGCTACAACTCACTTCTTCCGAGGAAGGAAGGAAGAGAGGGAGGACGGGAGGGAGGGACTCCATTTTGATAGTGAGCTAGCCACTCCCAGTCTCCATTCAGATCCAGTCTGATAGGGAACGTCTACACTGCAGAGGAAGATCAAAGCAGCTGCTGTTGATTTCCAGGGTTCAAATTAGCGGTCTAGTGAAGACAGCTAATTGAAACCAAGCAGGTTGATGTCGGTAACCCTCAGTCACTAGAAGTAAGGGAAGTCGAAGAGTGAGTGTTCTTCCTTTGACTTCCTGCTCTGCAGACAGAGACAAAAACCAAGTTAAGCTACTTCGACTTCAGTTACGCAATCAACATAGCTGAAGTTGTGTAGTTTAACTTGACTTTGTCTTGTAGTGTAGATGTACCCATAGTGTCTGTTCTGCATATGAATTCCAGCTCAGCAGTTTCATGCGGAATTCTGATTTTGACTTTTTTGAGGGGTGGAGTTGCTTGTTTTTCTGAAGTGCAGCTCACCTCTTCTCCCGTACCACCACTTCCACATTTCTCTCCCTTCTGGGATGTGTTCAGCTGCTGTTAGTAGCAGGGGAGGGTGCCTCTCATCTTGTCCTGACCGCATCCCATCCCACAATTTGGGTGGAGTGTCGGACCACAGGTCCAGTGGCCAGGTTTACCACAGAGTTTGCAGTTCTCTAGTTTCCAGCTAGGCTAGCCCTCATCCCATACTGAGCAGAATCTTCTTTCCCTGGTCATTTCTGCAGTTCCCTTGAGGAACAGGTGTTTTAAGAGCCTGTTATGCTGACCCTTATCTGTAGAACATGATCTGGCATACCTCAGTGCCCAATTCTGTCCATAAATATAAGCCTTCCACCCGCTGACACCAGCCCCGACTGCAGCCATGTAGCTAAAATGTGGTTCTCAAATGTTTATCTGACAATATCATAATGATATGCCATGAAGGGTACCTCAGTGTACCCTGCCAGCCACCCTTTCTGACCAGCAGAAAATAATGGCCTCCTGCCATTGGTAGTGATGCATCTGCTTGTGTCCGTCAGTGATGTCCAGGTCACATAAACACTCCTGCCAGAGGAGCAGATTGACAGCCTTGGAAGTGAATCAAATCCCCCCCAAACCCTGGGGAACAACGAAATAAGTGGGACCCTCTATGGGACAACTCCCTGAAAGCACAAAGGTTCGAAGGGCAGAACAGCCACCTGAAGACAAACATTTCTGTCAATATGATTGATTGCAACACTGTGCTGCAACATCCGCAGACTGAAATGGGAGCTGAGAATGATAAGAGTGAGTAACTTTGAAATGGGTTTTAGGGAATGTCCTGTCAACCATCTGTGGAGGTTTGTAAGTCCCGGCTTGACAAAGCCCTGGCTGGGATGATTGAGTTGGGGTTGGTCCTGCTTTGGGCAGGGGGTTGGACTCGATGACTTCTGAGGTCTCGGACAGCCCTGGGATTCTATGACGAGCCTCAGAGTCCCAAAATCATGCGTGACAGATCCTAGATCCCTCCTCAGTCCCAGCTATCTGGGTTGGTCCAAGCCTCTGATCGGTAATTTTAACATTGTCTGTGAGCATGGCTGCATGTGTACGCACTGTTGGAAGCAAAAGATTTTTCTGTGTTTAGGCGGCTAACAAACACCTTTATTGATCAATAAGGCACAAAGTGAGCCAAACATGAGCCCGGCAGAGCTGGGCCCAGTAAGGCTGCTCAACACAATCAATCCTAGTATTTCATACCCTTAACCAAACAAGTCTGATGCCAGGGCATTCATTAACTCATTCCAACAGCTCATCCTCCTGGCCTTTCTCACATCGGTGAAGGTCTGTTAACTCTCTAGCATATATGCAAAAGCAAGAAACTTAAATGGCTTCTGTTCTATGAAGTGGCTTCTAGCTAAATATGAAATGGTTTCCAAAGCACTTATACTGATTTCTTGATTATGTCCTGAATAAGCTTGTTGTATTGGCTTTTACCCTGAAAAGATCCAGTCTTCTGGATTTAGATCACTTCAGAACTGTTGCTGCAAATAACAATGGGCCTGATCGTCTTCCTACATCCATTATTACTTGTTACACGCTGCTTAGAATCATAGGGAATGATTTGACTACATCCCTCTGTCACCAGAGGGATGTAAATTAGACATACTGACATTGCAAATGAAGTGGACATTTTAATCTCCCGTGCTTCATTTGAATAAAAATGGCTGCCACTTTTTGCCAAGTCAGCAGTTTGTCGGCAAAAAGCAGCTGTCAAGACAGGGATTGGGCGACAAAGAAAGCATGGCAGGGACTAGCTTGGGTGGGAAGACATTTGGGCAGATATTTCTGTGGTTAGGCGAGGTACAATGCAAGAAGATGACCTACTGCTGGGATTACGCTCTCCTTGGTCTTCCTCTTCCTCCTAATATACTTGTAGAACATCTTTTTGTTACCTTTGATGCCTCTAGCTAGCTTGAACTCATTTTGTGCCTTTGACTTTCTAACCTTGCCCCAGCATACCTGTGGGCTGTGTCTACATTGGCACCCTTTTCCCGAAAAGGGATGCTAATTGGAGATTGCCTATCTCCTAGAACTGGAAGAGACCTTGAAAGGTCATTGAGTCCAGTCCCATGCCTACACAGCAGGACCAAGTACCACCCCTGATGAATTTTTGCTCCAAATCCCTAAATGGCTCCACAAGGATTGAACTCACAACCCTGGGTTTAGCAGGCCAATGCTCAAACCACTGAGCTATCCCTCCCCCCTTTAAAGAAATGAATGGAAATCGCCTCTTTCCTAGAGCTGGAAGGGCCCTTGAATCCAGTCTCCTGCCTTCACAGCAGGACCAAGTACCATCCCTGACAAATTTTTGCCCCAAATCCCCTCCATAGGGATTGAACTCACAACCTTAGGTTTAGCAGGTCAATACTCAAACCACTGAACTATCCCTCCCCTCTAATGAGACACTTCAGAATTGCAAATGCCGCGGGGGATTTAAATATCCCCCGCGGCATTTGCATGAACATGGCTGCCGATTTTTCCGGCTCGGTGTTTTGCCGGAGAAAAGCACCAGTCTAGTCGGGATCTTGCGGAAAATAAACCCTTTTCCAGAAGATCCCTTATTCCTACTTGAAAGTTCTTTAGCCCTACTTGAAAGTAGGAATAAGGAATCTTCTGGAAAAGGGTTTATTTTCCGCAAGATCCCGTCTAGACTGGCACTTTTCTTCGGCAAAATCCCCCGCAGCATTTGCAATTCCGAAGTGTCTCATTAGCATCCCTTTTCCGGAAAAGGGTGCCAATGTAGACACAGCTTGATGGAAAAATTATGTCTGAAGGAAGGTTCTGACTCTACAAACACTTTTACAGAACTGGGCCTCAAAGAACTGCCAAGTCTCCATGCTGCTGCCTGTGTTTTCCCCTGGTTTTTCCAATGGGATAAAAAAGAATGGACAACTCCAGCTGCTATCAATAAAACTAACTCATCGGCTCATATCTCTCATTGAGACCGACAGGGAAGAAATCAACACAAACATCCTCACTTTGCTCCTCAGAAGGCCCAAGCAAGAGAGTAAATCCCACAGATAAAACTAGAAGTTACAGAGATTTTGAAATGGGCAGAGACAGTCTTTGTAACCAAGGGTACTTCCGCCCAGCGGGGCTGTTGTACCTCGATGTCTTGTACCTCAGTACTTTTGGTGGTCTGAACTGTCTGTGACAGCGTTGTCTGGTCAAGATCGTCCTGGCGCATTCCTGACAGGACCTCTACTCCGTCACTGATGAGAAACTTTCGGGTGTGTGCGTAACAATCGGTACTCCCTTTATCTAGAGTGTTAGACCCCGTGCCCTTGGGTCAACACAGGAGATCTCTGAGAGGCCCCGGAAACGACAGATGCAGGCAAGGTTTGAAATCAATCGAGCAGGTTTATTGTCAAATGCGAAGATTTAAATCCCCACTTCATTAGCAATTGCGATACGTCTAATTTACATCCCTTTTCCGAAAAAGGGATGCAATCTAGACGTAGCCTCTCAGGC